CAGCCACGGGACGCTTCGAAGTCCTCGATGCCCATAGTTAGCGCGAGGAAACTCGCCTTCTCTCTAATTAGCGGTCAAGTTAGCGGAAGGTTTTTAAGCACGATAACAGGTAAAGCATTGCAGGAAACGTCCGTTTACTCGACTGTCCGTCAAGCTAAAAGTAATTAATTTACTTTGAGCAGCTGTCAGAGATGTTCGCTCGGACAGTTCAACAAACAGACTCAGGAAGAGATTGTCTTTTCTGCCGGTAGGAGGCGCAGTTTTCTACGAAGCCATTCCGTGGGCGCTTCTCAACTGACACCTGACCTTTGCCGGCTTTTTGTTTATCGTGTATGCAAATTACAAGTGATATATCAGAAAAACACTCCCTTCTTCATTTACATGTCACGCCCCTCAGAGGCCAAAACATCTCTCGCTACAAACAATGGATACCTTGTTAATTCAATGGGTATATTTCGCATCAATTGAGACACTGCACAAACTCAAGGACATCTTATCGTGCTGCCCACCCGGAGTTGAACCTACTGTCAGTTAAAAAGGCCTCAGTTTCATTCAGCTCAAGTTGGCCCTTTTTTCCTATGTGCTCTAAACACACGCGTTTGAGGTCAATCAAGAATACAACAAAATGAAACTTTTAAACATGATAACCTTGAGTTTGTCTATTCTCTATCAGCAGCTAATCGGATGCATTCCACTCTCTCTTCCACGGTCATTACCATTCCTCTTCCTCCATGATCTGGAGGACGTAAATGTAAATGAATTAAATAAAAATCGTCCGCGATTCCAGTAAACTCATGCTAAAAGAGTAACTTAATATGTTGCGGTTTTGGAGTAAATAGAGGCGCGGACACAGTTATTCCCTAGTATCGAGTGGGACTTAGTTGAGTTTGCGCCACTGCGGGCTTTCGTATGGCTTCCGGGTTCCGGAACTTCCGTTGTTATGACTCGATCGTTAATGTAATATTCTAGTCGAAATTTTAATGCATAGGTTTTTATTCCGTTTGACAGAAGTCCGTAGGTGGGAATATTTACTGTGTACATTTATTGTCGCGGCCTGAGGAAATCTATATTATATAATTCTGTTATACATATAGCGCAACCTAGTGACGATTAAAAATGTCATTTTTTTACATTTTAACATACTGAGGAAGGCCAACTCAAAATTTGATATTTATCTTGAACTACGCCATATTGTGATTTTTTTTTTTTTTTTTGGTTAAGAGCATGGCCAAATTCTGATTATTCACATGACAACGTTGCTTGACCCAGATGATCCTAGCTTTTCCAAACTTCAATTATTTGATAAAAGTGCAGGCCTGAATACATCTATGAACTTGTTTTTCAACATTGTGGTCGCGCCACTTACACGCTACAGAAAGTAAATGTTTTATTCTGTCTCTCACATTTTCTTCTCGCAGGATAACCAGATCTGCTTCATATTTCTCGAGCCTGTGTACAAAACCCTGGTGCACAGGCAGCCAACTGTGCCCCGAATGGTCAGGAAATGGTCCACGGAAGCTGAAGATGCTCTGCGGGACTGCTTCTTGGCTGGCAACCAGTTTGGAGTGACCACCACTGCACTCACTGCACTCACTGACACCATCACGGACTACATAAACTTCTGTGAGGAGAACACCGTACCCACCAGAACTGTGCGGTGTTTTTCCAATAACAAACCATGGATTAATCCCGACATAAAGGCCCTCCTGAAGGAGAAGAAGAGAGCTTTTATGTCAAGAAACAGAGAGGAGCTGAAGGCCGTGCAGATTCGGCTGAGAAGAAAGATCAGAGAGGGGAAGAAGACATACAGGATGAAGTTGGAGGACCAGTTACAGGAGTCAGTCACACAGCGAATACAGTTATCCGTAGATAAATAGTTGAAATTCAGTCATTCAGTTTAGTTGCAGTGTAGTGTGTACAGAGCATTATGATTAGTCAAACAATGACTGAGAAGGACAAGGACTGGGCAGATGAACTGAACCGTTTTTTCAACCGTTTCGACCAGACGTCTGTCCCTTCCCCCAACCACCAGCTGCACCCACTCTCACTGAGGACTTCTTCTCCTCCGCCTCCTCTTTCAACCAGCTCTCAACAACCCTGTCTGTCACCTGGTTCCTGCCTGTCCGTTACAACAGAGCAGGTGAGGAACCAACTGAGGAGGATGAATGTGAGGAAGGCGGCAGGTCCAGACAAGATCAGTTCCCGGCTCCTCAGGACCTGCTCTGACCAGCTGTGTGACATTGTCCAGCACATGTTCAACCTGAGCCTGAAGCTGGGCAGAGCTCCACAACTGTGGAAAACTTCGTGCCTGGTTCCAGTGCCCAAGAACCCCCACCCTAAGGAGCTGAACAGCTACAGACCGGTGGCGCTGACGTCTCACCTGATGAAGACGCTGGAGAGACTCGTCCTCGCTCACCTTCGACCGCTGGTGAGCTCGGCACTGGACCCGCTGCAGTTTGCCTATCAGCCTGGCATCGGCGTGGATTCATTCATTCATTCAGTCCTCTTCGTCCCGTCTGGGACATAAGGCCTCAGTCAACTCTATCCATCGTGCCCTGTCTCTGGCGATGTGTTGGGCTTGTCCCCATGTGAGATCC